AATAGCGACGTACATAGCCGGGCTGTTGAAGGTTTCGAACATAATTTGCGTCATCTTCTCGCGATTAGCTTTCGGGTTCAGGGGCGCTTCGGTGAGGAGAACAGGGTGTTCCTCAGGAGCGACACGCAATTCGTTGTAGAAGGTGTGATGCCAGATCTTCTCCATATCATCCCAGTTGGTGATGATACCGTGCTCGATCGGGTATTTCAATGTCAGGATACCTCTCTTGCTCTGAGCTTCATCGCCTACATAGCTGTCTTTTTGACCCATACCGACCATCACACCCTGATGTCTCGGGCGACCGACGATCGAAGGGAAGACGGCGCGGGGAGCGTCGTCTCCGGCGAAACCGGCTTTGCACATGCCGGAGCCATTGTCTACGACCAGGGCAGCTACTTCGTCGTCACACATTGTGTTTTTTTTTCGATTTTAACGCTCTGCAACAAAAATTATAATATTCTTTAATCTGTTATATCATATTGTCACGTCATTGTTCTGAATGATAATTGTTTATGATTATCTAATACCTGTCTGTAGTTTTGACACTACAGAACACAGATTTATATCATAGATATATATTTAGTTTTTTTTTCATATAGGTACATCACTAACACTTTTGTATTTGATAATTTCAGGATTTTATTAAAAACAAGTTTATGAATGATCAAAACTTTACGATATTGCTAGTAATATTATTGCAAGTGAATCATTATTTTATGACTGAAGCAACGATACGAAAAAAACAGTTTCAAATAGAAAGTTATATAATTGCACGATAAATAGACGCTCGTACTTTCATTCTTCGATATGCCGTCATAAAGTAAAACGAAACTAATTATATGTAATTTAAAAAATTTTGGCTGTAAGAATAGTTTTGATACATTCTTTAAGTAGAGATTATTAAACTTTTTCATTATTTTATTTCATTATTATTTAAATTATGTTGAAAATGATATTCAAAATGAAGAGATAATACAAAGAAAATGTTTTGATGATGATAATTGAGTGTCCGAAGTTTCTTGATAAAATTTGCATAAGTGTTAAAATTAAAAAAAATAATGGAAGCTATTAAAAAATTATTTTATATTGTCTGACGATAGGTACGGGTTCTGCGATGAAGTTCCCCGGCGAGCAAACGGTGCGCGAAGCCAGAATTGACCCAGTTGCCTATAAAGCGATAGGCAAAGCAGCCCCAGCGTCGCGGCGCTATTTTCGCTCAGCGCGTCGCTAACTTTAGACGTACGGCCGACGGACGCTCCCTAATAAGTTCAAGCGACGATTATGGTGGCCGACGCGGCCGCCGCCGCTGCTGAAGCGGCCGCCGACGACGACGACGACGGATAAAACATAACGCCCCGCCGCGAGGCAGCGACGAGCGTGCCAAAATTATGCCCGTCCGCGGAAAAGGACTAGCGTGCTCGCACGGCCGAAGACCTCGACTGTGAACACGACTATGAGTACAACTACGAAGGAGAGAGACGGCCGTTCGCCCCGCATTCTCGTGTGTTCGCCGTTTTTATGGCCGGCATCTTGGTAAAGCGTTAGTTAATGTTAACTCTGATTCTAAGACGGCTTCTCGCATCTCACTAGTTATAATTCTAGAAAGATCCGAGAGGCGGCTGAACTAGGTTTAAAGTTAGGAAACTCTGATTCTTAGAGGAATGAGTAATTTTAGGAACCAGAAGGCGCGAGGGTGCGATCCGCAGGAGATGGGCCCTTTTATGGTCATCGGAGAATCCGCGCACATGATTCATAGTTCTATGACTCGTTAAGCAATTTTTGGCATAAGTAAGTGAGATGTTAGGTAATGCCAAAATGTTTCCAAGATTTTTTATTCTTTTTAAAATGGTTTTTGCATTTTTCAACTGAGATCGCACTCTTTTCTAGATATTCTATGATTTTTGCCGGAATGATATTAATTTCTAAACCTAAATTTTAAAGAATTTGTAAAATAATCTTTGAATCACATTTTATCACAGATGAATTTAATTTTACTGCTATCTAAATTTTCTTATTTACAAAATCTTCAAAAAAATCATCTCCCGAACATTTATTAGATAATAATTTATTTTTAAAATATTCTTTTGGCTCATACAACGATTATGCTTTCAAGTAATATTCAAGTATTATCAAAATGAAAATTTAAATACTATAATTAGAAGGTTAGTCGAGTATTTCTTTTAACTTTGTTATAATGTACTTGTTTTCAAATGTTATCTATTAAGATTGTTAGTAAGTTTGATGCGTTAAATGCTTTGGTGATATTAATATCAGTTTTATCAAAACAGGATCCTGTCTCTGCCTGTTGTTGGAACGAAAAATGAGTGTACCATGCGACGTAACAATTATGTGAGCGGCTTGATAATGCGCCAAGAACTGATCTCAATGGCTACAGTGATACGCTGTGAACTTGAACTTCTTCGGTAATGGACTGAAGAATTCTCTTAGGTGAGTAGTAATTTTAAATCAAGAATATCTAACTGTAGAATCTCTACGATGTCTCAGTCGCGCATTGAAATCTCTAAGCAACAGTTAAACATTTCCAGATCCTATTCAGATTCAGTCTTGAATTAAAGTTGAATCAATTGATAAAAAAGATTACAGAGAAATGATAAGAGATATATGAAAGTATGAATAATTTGTAAGCTGAACTTAAATATTTTTAATGATTATCTCTGAAATCGAGAAATTATAAGCAGAAAATTTTTGTTTAATAGTATTCAATTCAAATAATATAGCATTGAATGCTGAATTTACTTGATAAATTTGGCGCAGAAACTTTTAAACAAAAGTGAAAATAATAAAGAAGTCGTTACTCTGGATTGCTGGTTATCTCGAATAATCCTAATGGTACAGCAGCTTATCACTTTCGTTCGCTAATCACTTAAACACGCGGATGTCTCAGGATAAGGCGTCGCACGAACAGACAGAAAGCGATCGTGTTCTCGGAGAAGGGAAAGGCAGTGTTGGTGTACCCGGCGGTAGCGGAAATGCGTGCGGAAATACTGTGTCTACGTACCGTGCACGGGACAGAGGTGGAGCGGCGTCTGTGCCTCGGCGGCGTCGCGACGTCGATTATATGCTCTCGTCTGGACGCCCCCGCATTTTCGTGGGATGGTGCTTGCCCGACAGGCACGAAAAAGGCATCGCCGCGCGGGGCGTCGCGACGCTCGCCGAACTAGGCGGTCGCAGCCCCTAACCGGACTGACGAATACGCTTTACCGCTTTGGAAATACTCTACGTCGCGTTCCCGCGTCAGTTTGGAGCGCCGGTTGTTTTTGGTGCGAATTATAATCCAAGTTTCGGTCGACTTTTTTTTTAACTATCCTTAGGCTTGTTTCGATAAATATTAATTGAAGTTAGCTGATTGTGAGATTTTAATATTTCTCCAGCTTTGTTTCTGACTCAGTGTTTGAAAAGAGATAACAGAGGATTAGTTAAATCATAACTCGGCTTAATTTATCTTTACTTCATCTAATATTTATAAGTTAAAGATATGTTAATTGCAGTTTGACGACTTGGATTGTTAATCTTCTGAAATTGTTGGAAGCACAATATTGTCTGGAGATATTTTTTCATGGAAAATCTCTTCATGTTTAACGAATGTTCGTTATGTTCTTTAGTTTTTTTAGTACCAAAATACATTAAAATTATATAAAAGGACTAATTATGTAAGCAATATTTTATTTTTGAATTGATGTTTCAACATAGAATATTCCAAGTTTGTTAAATTATTTCGTAATTATTGTGTATCGTTTTTGTTGCGTGTCTCTAATCTCGCATCAAGCAATACTCGCATGATGGATAAGATACCGATCTATAAAAATATTCTCGGATGCCTGATTAGGACAGGCCGCTTTATTTTACAGAAACAAACCGCAGGATGTTCCTCGGTTTATGTGTGTATGCAGATCCTCTTTTATCTCTTTTCTTAAAACACGGCTTTCAAAATGGATTCTGCGCAAGCTTCTGATGCATAAAATCTTATTTATACTTCTCAATTTTAATCATACGTCATTTTATTAATAAATTAAGATTGAAGCCAATTATAGTTTTCAAACGAAATTGCATTTTGCGAAAGTGAAATGCATCTATCAACGAGTAGAAAGCGGAAGGAATCGAGAAAGCAATAAAAGCAAGAATTATAGTTCACGATATCACGAGGTGGCAGGAATATTTCGAGATTACGTGATGCGACTGAAATAAACGATGGCTTCTGTGCGAAAGCGTTTATCGCGGAGATTCTCGTCCCTGAATATCAATGGAACATTCAAACGCTCCTCTATAAGTACCTTAGAGTCGATACGAAAAACATCGCGAGATGATTTATGACAGTCGGAAGTAGATTTATACATATCTTCTTCACACGAATAATCCTCTTGATGAGTAATCGATGATTAAGCGAATCTGCGTGAAAGCGGTGTGCGAAGATTCTCGCTTCGATAGAAATTTGGCAAGAGGAAGAAAAATTATATAGTGGAAAATTAGTTTAGAATAGGGCGAATCGAATTAGGCCAAGGTTCGCCGCCATACACGCGCATGTAACGATAAGGTTTATTTTAAATACGCCGGCCGCTACTTCGCCGCGATCGAAGACAAATTTGGACGCGATGCGGGAAGATAAATAATTGCGGAACGCTAGAATGCTCAATCCGCCTACTAGTGCGATTGTTAAGTAACAGTTTGCATAAACAAATGTTTTTTTCTCCTATTTTAATAGATTAAAGAATAAATAAAAGGAACACTGTTTTGCATCTTTGTCAGCGGATTTGAAAGAATCAGTTCTCTTATTCTTGATATAAAAAGTTGCGAGAATGAAAGATAGAGCTTATTTAAAAATTCACGCTTTATAGCAATATGTTCTGCAGGACAAAGGAAGATCTTCAAAGGACGTGGAAGTCTGAGGAGCCGAAGGAACTAGCTGAGTGATATGAGGAGTGCTGTAAGAGGATGCAAATAAACCAAATACAGACTTCATGTAAGGTAATGTAAAAGTTCATATAATAATTAGCAACGGTGATATATAATGTGAGATAATGTGTATTTGAATTGACCGACATCGTATAACAACATAGTAATATATAGTATATTTACAAAATAAATTAAAGTATAGAAGTACATCGGTAGAGTTTAGTTGCTTTGGTTAGCAGACTAGACATAATCATTTGTGGTACGCTTAGACGGTGGTAAAAGACGCTCAGTGCAACAGTAAATAAAGCGTAGCCTTCCCGAAGTAGTCTCGAAACTCGTTGCCAAGCCGTGTGTCCTTAATCAAGCCCAGAATGTCCCTTTCGCGATCGAAAGATACACTTGGTAGCGTCCCTCCGTGTACAGCGAGAATCCTTTCTGACGCTCAGCAACGTCCAGGCTACCACGAGCGAGGTCCTGTGACGAGAGCCAATACCGCCGACCGCTACCTCGGCCGATGATGATAACGCCAAGTGAGCAATGATGCTGTCGCGCGCAGTTTTCGAAAAGGCTGCGGCGACGAGGATGATCAGCCGGGCCGTCGTTGTTTGAGCAACGATGAGCCAGACTGTGATGAAGATTCGATGAGATCCAATGATGATTGAGAGTTGATGATGATACTCTGATAAGATTTTCTCGTAGCAGCTTGATCGCTCGGAGCAGAACGACGTGCTAGCCGTGCATTCTCCCCGAGATAAAACGATGTTCTTTCGAAAGTGACGTCGTTGCGTCGATGATCGTGTGACGACGCGCTTAGAAGCATTTGCGGTGGACGATGCCAGGGCCGGACTCGTCGTATTCCTGCTTGGAGATCCACATCTGCTGGAAGGTGGACAGGGAAGCCAGGATGGAACCACCGATCCATACGGAGTATTTCCTCTCGGGAGGAGCGATGATCTTGATCTTGATGGTCGAGGGTGCGAGGGCGGTGATTTCCTTCTGCATACGATCGGCGATACCCGGGTACATGGTGGTACCACCAGAGAGAACGTTGTTGGCATAGAGATCCTTACGGATGTCGACGTCGCACTTCATGATGGAGTTGTACACGGTCTCGTGGATACCGCAGGATTCCATACCCAAGAAGGAAGGCTGGAAGAGAGCC